GCCCTGTTAGTAAAGGCAACTTTACTGCTTACATTAGAAAACGGCCCCTAGTAGCACAGCCCCAAAAATATATTTTAAAAATTTATTTATAAAATATAGAAAAAATAAATAAACAGAAATAAGTTGCCAACAGCATCATTTTGAATTTTGCTCCTGTTATTTTGAACGCCATGTGTATGTGTAGTTACTGATAAATAATGCAAAAACCTTTCGTTTTTAATGGCGCTTATTTTGTTCTACATGCCAAGGGCAGACGCATTCTCTATTATAAATAGTCATAAATATTGTGCATCATGCAAAACTGACATAGGCTCCGACTCACACTAACACAAAAATTAGGTTTTAGCTTGTATATACATAGATATATGGGGAAATGTGTTTTTATGGTATAGCATTAGGGCTTTTAACAATTAAAGCATTAATCAACAACATAGAACTCACTTAAAAGACCTTAAAATCCAAGCTTTCAGCTCATGGCGCTCAACAAAGCCATCCTTATTAAGATCCATTAATTTTATAAGTACAAGCAAACGCTTTTTTGATTCTTCAGGCGAGAGTTTGTCGAATTCTTGTGCTTCTTTGATGCTGCCTAAAAGAGAGTAAACACTTTTAGCGGAAGTCTTAGTAATTTTTCTTAGCTTTTCAAACTTTTTATGATTCCGTTGAATATAAAAGTAAGGCAATGAAACACAAAAGCATTGCACGTGTGTCACAAATGAAGCGAACCTCAAATATCTGCACCGTAGCACAAGCAGAAATAAGAGAGGTTAGACATACGTACATACATAAGTTCATGCGTGCCGAAAACTAGACTATTCATCCGAATTTGTGCCACATAATTTTTTTTTCATGCTTATGAGTGTTTAATTTATGCAGCTATGCATATGTATGGTGTTATTCATGATTTCGAGCCCTAACCGCCAACATAACGTAAGCGACATTTTTTTTTTTTTTTTTGATACAGAAATGCATCTAGATGCTCTAGCAATATTTCTGCATCACAAACAAAATTTTGATTTAATAACACTGGACCACAAATTTCAACTTTTTCTCTTTACCAGAAACGCCGTTATGAAATTCTTATGTAAAATCACCCCCTGATTCCGAAAATCAAGGTTATTTTTAATTCTATGGTACCGTTTTTGAGATATTTGCAATTTACCGTTTTTGCAAAAAAATAAAAAATTGGGTCCACTTTATCATATACAGTTGCGTTCATGAAAATAGTAGTGCACCGACTCCTAACATTTAAAACGAAGTTCTGAAATGTACGGACTTGCAACTTGAACAAGCGTGCAGTGGTTTCGTAGAATAGAATGCTAAGAAAGAGAAAACCAAAAAATCCCGTTAACTCTGCATGTCTTGTCTGTTTTGTGACGTTTTTTCGTATATTCCCCAAAAATAGTATGTTCATTGAAATAGTAGTGCTTGACGTGAGTGGTTGATAAGTTTAACAAAAAAATAAAGAGCTGCAATAAGTAAGTGTATTTAAGCAACTTAATCATTTTCGGATAAAATTTATTGATATCGTGGTACTCCTTCTATTTTAGTGGGTAGAGGAAAGCATTGTTCAGTAGAGAAACGACAATTGATAATTAAGCTAAGGAATCAGGGAAAGACGTACAAAGAAATCGAGGAAATTATGGGATGCATTGCCACGATGATAAATAACGCTATAAATTAGAAAGAGAAAGCTGAAAATCGTGGTGGAAAACGGAAAACTACAGCCTTAGAGGACAAACGGATTATCCGGTATGCTAAAACCAAGCCCACAGCGTCCGCAAAAATGATAAAAAATTAATTAAATTTGTCGGTCAGTGCTCTGACAATTCGCAGACGTCTTATTGAAAACAATTTGAAAGCAAGGAGCCCCAGGAAAGTACCGCTATTGACGAAGAAACATGTCGCTGCAAGAATACAATTTGCTAAAGAACATTTGAATTGGCCGTCTTCAAAATGGCGCAACGTGTTATGGACAGATGAGAGCAAAATAGTTTTATTTGGTGGCACAGGATCCAGAAAATATGTCCGTCGACCACCAAACACAGAATACCATCCCAGGTACACTACTAAATCAGTTAAACATGGTGGGTTAAGCATTATGGTGTGGGCTTGCTTTTCGTACAGCGGAGTTGGTCCTATCCACTTGATCGATGGCGTTATGGACCGAGTAGTGTACATAATACTTTGCTTAAAATTTTTAATATGAAACTGTGTTTTTCACTTCAGTTGATGCTTTGAAAGTTAGGGCCCACTGGCACTACTATTTTCATGAACAAAGCTGTATATCTCAATAACGAATTAAGCAATTCCAAAACGGTTTGAAGCTTTTAAAAGGTAATAAAATTTTCTATAAACTGTGCATACAACACTTTTTGCTAGGCCCTGTAGATTCAAAGATAACGAACAATCATTACCGATTTTTTCAATTTTTTTTGTAAAAATATAAAAAAAAAATTGTACTTTGCGGGGAAGGATCTCGAAACCCTTTTATTTTTTTGCAGATTTTTTTTTCTCCCTAAGCTCTGTTGTATTACAAAAAAAATAAGCTATCATCGAAGAAAATCGATGCAAAACTACGTAAGTTATAAGCGATCAAATAAAAATACCCAGGTTGCGCAACTTCAATGTATGTACCTATACATACATACATATATTAAAGGTATAAAGTGCAAGTGAGATATTATTCGGATAAACGAATAACACCATAACAATGATAACACTTTTTCTTTAAATAAATCAAATAGTACTTTTAATACTCGAATTGTATTATAGTAGGTAGAGTGGTTGCATCGAAAGGAAGAGTGGGTGGGTTCGAAACCTGCTGTAGGCATGTAGTTATAAACATGTATTTCCGTCAGTTATGGGTAAGTATGCAGGTAGATTTTCAAAATTATAAGACACAGAAAATTTCTAAAGCCTACATCTAAAACAGGTAGTATTTTCTTTTCCCGGCTTGTTATAAAAACCTTTCTGTCTAGGTAAGATTTGATTTTTTCAATTTTATTCTTGTTCCGAGTATAAATATGAGTTAATGCGCTTTGAAACTTCATAACATCTTCAAGGCTCGCCGGAGATCGTTCAGTTCATAAGTCTAATTTCAAAACCGTGATTTATTAAAAAAAATAAAATGAGTAAAAGGACGCGAGAATTTGAGTGTAATAAGGATCCAGATATTTTCTGTTTCATGTGTGGCCAATATACTATCATAAGGCGACGACGAGTGTTCTCAGATCATATCAAAACTTTATACTCCAAGTATTTTGGAATTGAGCCTAAAAATGCTGAAAAACCATGGACACCGAACACTTTGTGTACATCGTGTCGAGTAGAATTGATTCAGTGGGAATCAGGACAACAAACAAAATTTGATACACCAATGATATGGAGAGAACCTACTTGCCATTCAATAGAGTGCTATATTTGTCAAACAAAAGTACTTGGCGTTGGAAGATCAAGAGGAGTAACCTATGCTAGCGTACCTACAGTGACATTACCAGTACTACATTCAACGGCAGTTGCGGATCCAGTTCCATTGTCAACAGTAACATCTGAGTGCGTGGGATCAAGTTGTACTGAATTTCGCATGGAAAACGAAAGAAACGTTCTGTCACAAGCACAACTTAATGATTGGATAAGAGATTTGGAACTATCCAAGGAAAAGGCCGAGATCCACACTTCTCGTATGCAACAATTTAAATTTGTGTCATCCGATGTTAAGGTGACATATAGTAGAACTCGTCACGAACCATTTTCCAAACACTATACCAAGAAAGACAGTATATGCTACTGCAACGACATCCCTGGTTTATTCAAAGAGTTTGGTCAAACATATGATTCAAAAGAGTGGCGATTGTTCATAGACGGCAATAAACTGAGTTTGAAGGCTGTATTATTGCATATTGGTAACAAAATGCCTTCTATCCCGATTGCACATGCAGTAAATACAAAGGAAACCTACGAGGAAATGCAAAAAATACTCAAATTTATCAAATATGAAGATCATGATTGGAAAATATGATCTGATCTCAAAGTCGTTGCAATGCTATGCGGTCTACAAAGTGGCTACACCAAGCACTGCTGCTTCCTCTGCAAGTGGGATAGCCGAGCTCGTAAGGACCACTACGTCAGAAAGGATTGGCCGGAAAGAGTCGAGTTTACCGTTGGTGTGGATAACATCAAATACACCCCTCTTGTCAAGAAAGAGAAAATCATACTTCCACCCTTACACATCAAGCTCGGTCTCATTAAAAACTTTGTTAAGGCTTTGGACAAAGAAGGCGAAGCATTCGACTATTTGAAAACAGTTTTTCCAGATATTTCTCAAGCCAAGATAAAGGAAGGTATTTTTGTTGGACCACAAATAAGAAAGTTGATCAACAATAATCAATTCAAAGGACTACTCTCATCAGTTGAGGCAGCAGCATGGGAATCCTTTGAAAAGGTCGTTGCTTCTTTTCTCGGTAGACACAAAAGCCCTAACTACGAGCAGATAGTGAACGACGTAATCAATAATTATGCGAAAATGGGCGTAAATATGTCTTTAAAATTCACTTTCTCCACTCACATTTGAGCTTTTTTCCGGCAAATCTTGGCGACGAAAGTGATGAACATGGCGAAAGGTTCATCAGCAAATGAAATTAATTGAGAATCGATATCAAGGATTCTGGGACGTCGCAATGATGGGTGATTACTGCTGGTTTCTCATAAGAGGAACCGATCCTAAACTGAATAAGCGTCAAAGTAGAACACATAATTATTTCGACAACATAGTAAAATCAAATTAAGATAAAGATTGTTAGAATATAGTATAAACATAAATAAATTTAAAAAAAAAGTTAAAAATATGGGTAATTTCATTCATAAATTGAACTTTTAACTCAATAGAAACAGAGCATAGCTAGATATTTCACTCTTCTTTATACCATACATACGTTTTGAGGTATACGTTGAAATTGCGCAACCTGGGTATTTTTATTTGATCGCTTATAACTTACGTAGTTTTGCATCGATTTTCTTCGATGATACCTTATTTTTTTTGTAATATAACAGAGCTTAG